AAAAAAAAAAAGTCAGTCCCTTTCTACTCTCAAGGTGTCCTCATGACAAGTGAAGGAAAACCAGCAGTCACACTGGAGAGCCTCAACACAGAGCTTAATTTAATTAGCTAGTAAATGTTTTCAGAACCCTAATAAGACAAGCCAGAGCATTAGCTTCCTTAGATTCTTCCAGAACCCCCGGATTAGGCACAAACCACACCCAAACATGTTTTCACAGAGATCCTTTATTAAGCGGGAAAGAAAAGTTAAAGTGGCTGCTTTCTGACTCAGGCAGAAAAACAGCAGCAAATGATCTTGCTGATGTAATTTTTGAGAAGAGAAAAAGGGTTAGAATGTGTCATATATTTTAGTTAGGCATGTTAATTGGGTGAACCAAAAGGGGCTTTTGATTGCTGAACTTATTTAATACTTTGATAGCCAGACCTTGGTAATCAGCCTCAGGGGGAAGTGGCCAAATAAAAGAATAGACCTTGGTGGCCAACTTTAGGAATATAATCTAACGGTTTTTAGCAAGGCAGAGGGAATTGGGGAGAAGGGCAAGGCCTGCCAGAGTCACAAGCTCAAGTGGGCTAGGGTCCCTTCAACATGTAATTCATACATATAGCTGTAAAGTCCTATTGTCCTGGTGAAGCAGATGTTAGATTTTATTTCATACAGCCTCCGATTTACATACCAAACTCAGGATACCCAAACACAATTCTATCACTGACCATCTTCTGTGTATGATGTGTGTATGTGTGCACATTGACATGTGAGTACATGGGCATGTACATGCTACAACACGTGTGGAGGCCAGAGAAAGACCTTTATTTTGGACCTCTGCACTGTGCACACCAGTTGGCCTATGTCTGAAAATTCCTTTGTCTCTCCTGCCCATGCTCCTGTAGAGGATGCTGCCTGCTATTACACTCTTCCACTTCCTGTTACAAGACTTCAAAGAATTTGAAATCAGAACTTCATGGTAAAACACTGGTACCCCCTGAGCCACCTCCTGGACCTCTACCACTAACTCTGGAAAAGCTCTCTCTTATCACTTCTTCTCTCATATAAGCAACAACGTGTGTAGGAAGACTCTGTAGGTAGACATATGGACTCTGAAGAGTTTCCTACTCTTGAGGTACAGTTTCCCTCCTCATCTGTGAACATGGATATAACTGAACTACAGTTGTGGTACTTGTAATACACAAGCAACTTCTCCGTACAGAGTTGACTATACGAAGGGGCTTTGTATTAGCTTCCTTCTATCTACTCTCTTAAAAGGTGGTAGAACTCAGAGGCCGAGGCAGGTGGATCTCTGAGTATGAGGCTAGCCTGGTCTACAGAGCCAAGTTCCAGGACAGTATGGGCTGTGACACAGAGAAACCCTGTCTTGGGGGTGAGTGGCTAGGGTATTAAGGCCCCAAAGCAACTTTTACAACCCATCTTTGTAAACCTGAGATCATGTATCAAGAAAATAACATAAATCTCCACTAACACAATTACTAAACAAGGTAACTTCTTCCTGAGCTATGGGACGATCCCAAGTGATAAAGGGAACTTTTGGGTCAGGCAAGAGTAGCTCTACCTGAAATCCCAGAACTCAGGAGACCTGACAATCAAGGCCAGTCTGGTCTACATATCACATATAACAAGCAAGCAAGGGGGATTGCAGAGCAAGAAAACATTTGAACAGCCCAACACATTCTCGTTGAGGGCTCTGAAGCAGGAAAGTACTGAAAGGCAGCAGACTGTAAACTTGCCCATGTGACCAGGGAGAGCCCTGTACCCACTGACTCACAAAGTAAGTCAGAAAGCCTAGCAGGTATCTAAACCCAGCTCTAACATCAGATAACAAATCTGTCTGACCCCTGCTCAGGCTGTGCTGGAAGACTGAGACTTGGAAAACTCCATTTATTGATCCTCAAACCCAACAAAAAGTTCTATGCAAGAGTTGTGAAGGCCCTTGACCTTGCAGCCACAACTGTGTACACTGAAGTCAGCTTGCTTCTGTTTCTCCAGGCTCCGATTCTGTTTTCTGAGATGCTAAGAGGACTTCTCGAGCTCTCTTCCTTCGAAGTCTCTCAGCATTTGTGATCATCATCGGATGCAGGGGGTAAAACCCAGAAAGACCTAAAAGCAACAGGATTTCACTGTAACATTGCACATGCCAGTGTGTCCCAGGAGTCTGCTTCATAGAACTGAGACGCAACACGTGACCCACAGCATAGAGAATAGGCAAACTCACTGTCAGTTCCTAACACTGTTCTCACTTAGAAAAGAAAAAAGGCATACTGACAAGCAGGTACCCAAGACACATTTTTCCCCCAACAAAATCCCAGTCACTCGAATTCACAAAGGGTGCCTCCAGATTAAAAAATGGCAATTACATCACATAAACCACACTAAACCTTGTCCCCCTGTGCAGAGCAGCTTGGATGCAAAGAAAATCATTGTTCTTTTCCATTATCCTAGAGCTGACCCCAGTATAAAATCTCTTAAATTATCTAAGCTCAGAGATAGTTTACCCAGAAGTTTCTCCATAGGCTTAGAGAGGTGAGCCCCACAGCCAATCCAATGCCGGATCCGGTCCAGGTTGAGGGCAACCAGTTTTTCTCCATTACTGTTGGGCAGTGGATCGTAGGAGCCTAACTGCTCCACAAAGCGGCCATCCCTGGGGCACTTGTTGTGAGCAGCCACAATGCGGTAAAAGGGCCGGTTGGCGCAGCCACCCAAAGCAAGGCGGATGGTTAGGTGGCCCCCATGGTATGCTCTGCTGAGAAAGGTTGCTGTGGAGAAATAACTAGTTAGGAAGACACAAAATAGGTCATGTAAGGCAAAGGCACAATTCCTCCTTCTACTGCAGTGTTCTCACTTCCAATCTATTCCATCCGGATTAGGTACCAACTTGTCTGTGAAACTTTCCCCTTAACCAATTCATCCCAGACACACCTCCTTTCCCCCAAATGCGGGTAACACGGACCTGCCACTTGCTAGGTTGACCTTGTCGTACCCTTAGCTGCCTCATCTGCAAAACGATTTCTACGACGATTTTACGGTTAAAAACTGAGAAGAGAGCACGCCTTTAATCACAGCACATTTGGGAGGCAGAGGCGAAGTATGAGTTTGCTGTGTGTGAGTTCGAAGCCAGACTGTCTTTATATTGTGATTTCTAGGCCAGCCAGCGCTACACAGTGAGACCCTGTCTGAAAAACAAAGCGGACTGAGACGAGACTCCGGTGTAAGGCAGTGCGGCCGCTCCTAGCCCGGGTCGCCGCTCCCCGCACCCGCCCCGAAGCCCCGTTCACTCACTAAGGTGGACCATGATGCAGCGACGAACGACCCCTCTGGCTGTCCCTCCTGCACCCACCAACTCCACAGAGTCTGAAGCCCGGAGGAGCGCCCCAAGCGGCCGCGCAGGCACACGCCCGGCACCGCTCAAGATCCAAAAAGCCCTCTGCGGAAGCCGCGGGCCGCTCGCTCCACCTCTTCCGCTTTCTCTGTCTAAGTCTACCGGAAGGCAACAAGGCGACCCTGACTTCCTGAAGTGATGCGGAAGAGGTGTGTCTGTAGGCGTGGCGCCGCTGGCTGTCTTTGGCCGGACTCTGCGTGGGGCCGGAGTGTGGTGAAACTGTCGGGCCTGTCTCTCTACCCTGCTGCCGAGTGCGCTGCAAACACATCCGTCCTGCCGCCATTCCCACCCGGGTTAGGGCGCCAAGCGCTGACCGTGGCGCCCCGGGTATCCGCCTGGTGGGCAGGCGGGGTCGCACACAGCAGGGGACGAAGCTGTCTGCCCATTCCTCAGGAAGACTTCGTGTAAGACTGAGCGAGGAGCAGGATTAAAAGTAACTCATTTGTCGTCTGTTTATTAATATGACTCACTTTCCCTCATGTTCTCTTATCCTCACAGAAGAAATCGCTCCATTAAAAAATAAGGGGAGCGGGCTTTTATTTCCGCCTTTACTACAGGTTCCAAGAAGTTAGGGTATGATTTCTTTGTCCTTACAAGACCTAGAATTGCAGCTTCACTAGCGAATTTTGCATCTCAAATCACAATGGTGTGTAAAAGCTGCTCTCCTGATTTAGATCTATGAAGATACCAATTGATTTAAAGAAATTAGTACGTCTATCTTAAGCAAAGACCTCCCTATCCACTCTCCCAAAAGGCTAGCCCCCAGAATGTCCTCTGCTCTCTTACCCAGTGGCACAGCATGGCAGTATTCTAAGCCCGCCTTTGAAGATGGTACCTTAACTTCCAAGCCCCAGTAACTGAAGCTGGTCAAGAACCTTGGCAATTGACGAGAAGCTTTCATCAGAAATTCTAATAGTTACACCATTATGCATATAGCTACTCACAAATGTCTATTAGTTATGTAATTATGTAAGATCATATAAAATATAATTGCTACATAAGACTCTAGAAACTTGCTGATAAATTGTGAGGGTTTTTTTTTTTTTTTTTTTTTTCAAATTGTGATCTGAATTATAGTTAACAACTAATGGGGAGAGGGGAGTTCAGGTTTCATCTGGTGACGATTTGGAAAGGAAAGATGAGATGCTTGGAGGTCCCATACTGAATATCCACTTGTCCGAACGTCAGAAAGACGGATCTCCAAAGCCAACCATTTCCTGCACACTGTTGATTTCTGCAAGCAGAGCCTCGTTTTTCAGTTTCAGCTGCAGAATCAAGGCAGGAAGAACAAGTCACTCCAACACACCTCAAAGCTTTGAAGATCCCTAATTTACAAGGCTCCAAATTTGTGGGCATGGAATGGGCTTTTCCTATATTCTCATCACCATGGGAGCCCCCTTAAAGACTTAGAATGTCGTGTTGTTTTCATGGACGGGTGTTCCCTTGGAGAAAATTCATCAAGCACTGTGAGGTCTCACAATCTACAATCTTGGCATGACAACATCTGCCTCATACCTTTAGTGTATACTTGTAGGCCTGCTCGGCTTCCAGTTGTCGTCCAACCTGAAACAAAAAGCACTGTGTGTCTTTCACAGAGATTGTGAATAAATGTGAAAGGGGAAAACTAAACCCAAAGGCTTCGATTCTAATCATTTAGAAATAAAGGGACCAGACCCTCACTCAGCCCCCTGCTTTAGCAGCCATGATGTTTGGCCACAAAAGAAACTCCAGGGGAAGACCAAAACCTCCCCTATAGTCTCCAGGATACAGTTCTGAAAACTATTGATATCAATAAACAGGCCACCAACAAGTAACAAGACAAAGCCATAGAAACCACAGAATGTTCCCTCTCAGCACTGACCAATGAGAATACCTGGTACACAGGTATTTCATGCCAAAATATGGCTTTGAGAAATTTCTTGATTGTTCCCCAAATGTCAAACAATCAGAAATGAACCTGTACCTACAGATGTAATCCTATAACTTTTGTCTTTAAAACCTAGCAATAGTCAGGGAACTTCACCCCCTCTAGAGGTTGATTGTGTCAGCTTGCTAGACGGGGTCCCTCCCATGGTGTAGGATAAACAATTTAATAAACCTTATGCATTTGCATCTGTGGTCTGTCACCTGGGTCTCTCTAGGGGATCCTTGTGACTCGGGCATAACAAAATGATTACTAAGCACATACGTTTCAAGGAGGGACTGCCCAAGATTGACATTTCTTTTGTCATCAGTACAATGACCAAATCCAGATCTCATCAAACTTCAGTTATTATGTGTTAACAGCTACCTTACTTTTCTTTCATAGTTGGGCCCTCCCCTGTTCCCTGAAAGGGCGTTGTGAAGGAAGAATATGAAACACTCACCTTCAGGCAGACCAGAGCCAAATAGGCCCACACTTCAGCATTGTAGTTATTCAGTGCATTTGCTTCAGAGAGAGCATCCTCAGCCTCAGTGAGCTCCTCCAGCTTGGCAGAGAGGGAGAGACAGAAGACACAATCCAAAGTGCTTTTCACTGAGGCCAACTAGAATCAGCTTAGGTGAAATCACTAGCCGACAGTAGCTATCTATGACTTACCTGTTCCAGTGCTCTTCCAAACAAAACCTCAGCATCCATCAAGTGTCTCCAGTCACATGCAGCATGTATTTTATATTTTCTTATATAATTATGTAACTACTAATACATATTATTTGTGGGTGGCTATATGGTAGATATATATCTATCCTCCCCATGATAACGTCACTCTTCTTTTTTAAATTTATTTTTGTTTTAAAAGTATTTACTTAGAGACTTGGTCTTCCTGTGTAGTGAAACTCCCAGGATTGGCTTGAAATTCATTATGTAGTCCAGACTGCCTTAAAAGTGAAACTATCCAACCACAGCCAACCAGGCATTGGTACAATAGACATGAGCCACTAAGCCTACCCCTAGATAGTTTTTTTTTTTTTTCTGTTTTGAATGAA